ATATATTACTTAAGTATGGCGTCTTAAGTAGTAAATGCTTGCTAATTTAATTAAAATAAACTGTAGAAAGACTTAGCACATTATAAATATTTTTAAACACTTTCACAAGCAACAGTTACCGTTACCGTTACAGCCTCCTCCATAGATTGCCTCATAGCTACCGCCCTTGGCAAGCATGTTGGCAACCGCAGTTTTTTATTTGTAGTCGTTATTAAGGCTACGTTGCTGCCCATCTCCTGATTTGTTTACCTCTGTCGTCTCTTTCTGTCGCTACTTACTGACATGGGGCAGCGGATATTCTTACACCGCCACATAACTAATAAACTCATTCGAGCGCTCGTATTAAACAGAACCTTCACCATTAACAAGCTAAATTGTTCGAGTGCACGTGAGTATTATTGGAAATCAATATGTTAAGTACATATGTAGATAAGTACCGACTCGACGACAAACATACGATACAGGGATCTCTTTGATGAATTGGAACGTGAGGAGGCTTAGGAATTGCCTTAAATAATGCCTATAGACTTTTATGATGCTAAGTATCATAACAAATATTCAATCCGTTATCTCGTAAAATTCTGACAAATTTGAAAATTTATAATTTGCTTGAAAGAAATTTTGAATTCCATCTTGCCGCGCAATGTGTTTTTTTTTTTTGTATTGGAGTCGAATTTTAGTTTTGTTATGTGTGTTTAACTATTTTTAATCTGTATTTTTATTCTGTTCATATCCTTTTCTATCTGTTTAAAAGTGAAAGGTAACGAGAGCGAATAAAAGACGACGTCCAGAAGGCTTACCGGAAGTCATAGAGGACAGAAGTCGTTAAAATCTCATAGTAATTACTAGCATAGGCAGTACCAAATTAGTAACAACATTGTTACAGCTGAAGTCTTTACAGATATGACGTTTAATATAGTACAAAATAAGATAGCTGTATAATTCTCACCTTCTTTCTATTTTTAAGATTGTTGCCGTTTTTCCATTCCATAGACAACTGTATTGTTATGCCATTAGAGTAACGAAAAACGTAGTCGATAAATTCATTTAGTCTGTGACTTAGCAAAATTAAGGATTTTTAATAATCCGTTTCGTAATACTTATTTATACAACGAAAATTTATGAAAACTTCGTCTGAGATCTAACAACAAAAACGTAATCGAATAAGGAGGAATTTCGTACTATCGTTTTATAATTAAAAATATATCGTGAAAAGTTCATTATTTAATCTGCTTAAATTCAGCTCGGTATATTTTCGACAAATTATCCGTAGATAAATCTAGATAAATCTACGGATAATTTGTCGAAAATATACCACGAATAAGCAGAAAATAATGACTTTTCACGATATATAAATTATAAACGATAGTACGAAATTCCTCATTATCGTATTTTTTAATCTATATATACAAATATGGTTTTACAAGAATAATCTTTCATCACACCTCACGGAAAAAAGAAGGAAATAATGGTTATATATCATCAATTAACCCTTCAAATCCACTAACACACAAAGCACGGTCCTGAGCCACCTATCCATCGATTCCTACCATCCCTCAGGGGGGTCGCCCTACACTACCCTACCGTACGAGGCTGCCACTCGGGAAACGTTTTTCCCTACCGGTTATCGGTTCTTCGAGATAAATGGCCGGCCCATTGCCACTTCAGCTTACTAATCCGTTGGGCTACATCGGTCATTCTGGTTTTACTACGGATATCCTCATTTCTGAGTCTATCACGCAGTGAAACTCCGAGCATAGCCCTCTCCATAGCTCGCTGAGCGACCTTGAGCGTCCTCATACGGCCAGCGGTGAAGGACCACGTCTCAGATCCGTAAGTCATCACTGGCAACACGCACTGGTTATACACTTTAGTTTTCAGAGATTGAGGTGTACCTGACGAGAAGATGTGTCGTAATTTCCCGAACGCTGCCCAGCAGAGTTGAATCCGTCGATTGACCTCTCGGTCGAAGTTGGACTTACCTAGTCGGACTATTTGTCCCAGGTAAACGTACTTGTCAACAACTTCGAGCATAGTGCTCCCAACAACTACCGGCATAGGTATGACATGGACATTAAACATGATCTTTGTTTTGTCCATGTTCATCTTAAGACCTATCCGTTGGGAGACACCATTGAGGTCATTGAGCATAGTGCTAAGGTCCTCCAGCGATTCTGCCATAAGGACTATATCGTCGGCAAATCGAAGGTGAGTGATGTACTCGCCATTGATGTTAATACCGTATCCTTTCCAGTCCAGTAGCTTGAAAACGTCTTCCAACGCAGCGGTGAAGAGTTTCGGGGATATAACATCACCCTGTCTTACACCTCTCTGCAGTTGGACAGGTTTCGTACTCTGGTTCTGTACTCGGATAGCCATCGTAGCCCTACTGTACAAACACTTCAGCACTTCAATATACCGACAGTCAACTTGGCACCGCTGAAGAGACTGCAGCACCGCCCAAATTTCGACGGAATCAAAGGCTTTCTCATAGTCCACATACGCCAGGCAAAGTGGCAAATTGTACTCTTCGGTCTTCTGTACAATCTGCCGCAGGGTATGTATGTGGTCTATGGTACTGAAGCCTTTTCGGAAACCGGCTTGTTCGGGAGGCTGGAAGTCGTCGAGTCTGCGTGCGAGACGATTCGTAATGACCCTCGAAAACAGCACGTAGACGCGGCTCAGAAGGGAAATCGGTCTGTAGTTCTTCAAGAGAGCGTTGTCGCCTTTCTTAAAGAACAAGACCACCGCGCTTCTGCTCCACGCCTCCGGAGTAGTGCCACCATGGAGGACGGAATTGAAGAGCTTCTGAAGGACTTCAAATACCGGTGTTCCACCCGCTTTCAGAAGCTCCGCTGTAATATAATCCATCCTCGCCCGGGGCCTTGCCGTTTTTAAGGTGGTGGAGAGCCATTCTAATCTCGCTCAGACTGACATCCGGGATATCATCGGAATAGTGTCGGATAAGACTTGCTCTTGGATCGTTACTCACACTTGCGTGTGGCTCCAACGATGATGTGTACAGCTGCCCATAGAACCTCTCAATCTCACTCAGAATTCTCAGGTGTCCCGGAAACGATGTTGCCACACTCAGTCTTCAGCCTTGACAGTTGGCTCTTTCTGGCAGACAGATCTCTGGCAAAGACTTTGGAGCCCTGGTTCCGCTCGATCGCTTCTTTAATACGAGCAGTATTAAAGTTGCGTAAGTCTTGCCGCATGCATTTGGAGATCTGTCTGTTCAGTTGCCTGTATGCTGTCAAATCTGTTGACGATTGCAGCCTCATCTCCCGTCTAACAGCCATGAGATTAAGAGTGTGATCGGAGAGTTTTTGTGTTCTGCGGCGGGTGCACACTCCGACCGCATGGACAGTTTCCACGAGCTTGTCATTCATATCGTCCACTGCATTGCAATCCTCTAGGCACTGAAAGCGGTTTTGTAACTCGAGCTGAAAGGTTTCGGGATTCTGGATTAGAGCACGAGGGGGGACGGAGCGTTGACTTCATTAGACGAGACCTCCCCAACTTAACATTTAGGTTCAGTGTGCCTCTAACCATTCGGTGATCGCTGCCAGTTTTCACCCTTGCGATCACTGAGACATCACTGAACAGTTGGCGTCTGGTCGTCATAATGAAGTCAATCTCATTTTTTGTCGAACCGTCGGGGCTCGACCAGGTCCACTTCCTGTGGGGCCGCTTCTGGAAGAAAGAGTTCATCATAAAGAGTCCCTCTTTCTCCATAAAGTCGGCCAGCTGCTGGCCCCTTCGGTTCCGTTGCCCTACTCCAAATTTCCCCACCTTCAGCTCACCGCTTTCTCTTGTGCCTAGTTTTGCGTTGAAGTCTCCCATCAACACCGTGTAGTAGGTTTTGGAGGAATGCATGGCTCTGGAAATATCCTCATACATTTCCTCCACCTCCTCATCGGGATTTGCCGAGGTTGGTGCGTAAACCTGTATGACCTTCACCGAATGCCGTTTGGTGATTCTGAGTATCAGGTACGCGACCCTCGTCGACACACTCCCAATCTTTACAACGTTGTTGACGAGAGACTTGTGGACGATAAATCCGACACCTCCTTGGGACAGATGGTCGCCCTCCCGGTGATAGAACAAGTTGCCGGACTCGAGGATTGCCGTATCCTCCCCTCGGATATCTCTCTTCGGACCTCGGATAATCCAATAATATGCCAGCGCAACTTGTCTACCTCTTCTTCCAGCTCCAGTATCTTCTCGTCAGTCCTCAGAGTGCGTGCGTTATATGTTGCCAGGTCGAGTCGTCGTAGGTGGCAACCGAACCTCCACCGGAGATTCTTAGCACCCCCTGCCCCACCGTTACCATAGTCGCCACCGTAGCCAGGAATAGCGGGGCCGCCGGGGACTGGGGGCCGTTTTTTTGCGTCGTTATTCATGGGGGATATTTGCCATAGTTGCCACGCTTGGCGAGCAGGTTGGCAACCGCAGTTTTTTATTATAACACAGTTGTTATCACGAAAGATGCTGCTGCCCATCTCCTGCCTGTTTCCCTCTGTCGCCTCTTACGACACCCACGGGAAGATATGGGGTAGTGGATATTCTCAACCGCCACTACACGGCACTTTACTCAAAACGGAATTGTATATAATGAGGGTGGCAAATGTGTACACAGTCTACACGATAGATGCTGTGTCATGGAAATGTACATTTATCCTCGATTATGAATCAAAATGTAGATGCGTAGTCACACCTGAGGACTAAGGTGGAATACAACGCTTCCGTCTAAGCAGCAAAGTGTATTACAAGCTTAATTACTTGGTGATAAAATCTTTACAGGTTGAAAAAGCCGCATACTTTTGCCACAGCATTAATTAAAAAAAAACAAAAATAGTTTTGGAAAAATCTGAAAAGCACTGTATTACCTTTAAAATAGACTGTAGAATTTATGTTTTCTCATATCACATTATGTACAAAGTTAAAATAAGATTTCCTAATTCGCCAAATTAAACTAAACTAACGCTATTTTACAGGCCGTTAAACGCAAAATCTTCAATCAAGAACTTCGAGGGTCGGTACACGGCACTTACGAGTACCATCATAAGAATCAACTCTCTACTGCCCACAGTAGAAATCCTGTGTGATATGCAAGTGCCTTTAGCAAATTATTTTAGCAGGAACAGGGACATATTCTACAGAGGTAAGTTACAGAGTTAATAGAATCTTAATAATGAAGTACTTTTGTCAGATACTTGAAATTACACGTTGACTAAGCCCAAACTGATATTTTATGTAAAAGCACTACTGCGTTTTCGGATCTGGATTTGTCAAGCTTATTCTTGTGTTTTTTTAACCAATTAGCACCGTAACAGTGCAAACGATGGTAAGTGCCTACTGCGGTCCACTTCGAGCAGGTGCTCGAAGCAGTCACCTCTGAGTAAAGTTGCAGCCTATAATAATAATATGTTCCACTGCTTGAAACAAGCCTCTTGTCATTTCTAAGGGTTATGGGGTATTGTATTTATTTAAAAACGGCATTCTTAACACAATTTTATGTTTAGTGTTCAGTTTGTGTTATTTTAAAACTATATTAAAATATAAAGTAGCACAGATAATATACAGATAGCGTCCATCGTTCTTTTTTTAATACGTTCTTGAGCGTGAAGTTTCTTCACGGCAACTATGTTTATACAGCAAAAGTTAAAAAATGAATTTGCAGTCGCAGGCGTTAACTTGGTGAATACGTGAATCATGGTGGTCCGCCGCGCTACTCCATGCGTGTTTACAGGACTTCACATGAGCTATCATGGCTAACTACTGTTTATAATTAACCTTTATTTTTAGATCCACCATCGATGCCACCAGATACATCGAACTCACCACATATGTCTCCTGACAAAAGTGATTATTAGTTACCTATTTTACATTTAAAGACAAATATTTGTATTAGAACTAATTTATTTATTTTACAATTTTTTTAAATCTTTGAAATAAAACTAATTTTACGGCTATTATCGCATTTAATTTTAGGTTTTTTTACCCCCGAAGTTTCGGGCACTTTACAACACCCATGGTCACGGGTGGGGGTGGGGGGATGAGGTGTTAACGTTCTGACGGCATAGTTAACGAAGCCTACCTCTAACTTCAAATTATAAACGATACGTCGGGAAAAAAATTAAAATTAGTTTTATTTCACGTGTAGTACTCGCGTAAATATAAAAATCATTCCTAGAGCTTTTGTTCAGCGAGGAGTTCTAATGATAAAGATAACGATGATGATTCACATTAGTACGTAAATGTAAAAAACATATTTTGTTATTTCTGTTTTATCAGGACGGGATATTATAGGTTTCTTAAAATTTTGCTTTTTTACATTTATTGAAAACCAACTCACAAAGATTATCATAATTTACTGAAAAATGAAATTAGTTAAATTTAAACGAAATTTATTTCTGCAATTAAAAAATAACGAAAGAAATTAAAGATTGAAAATAATTTTTCACCAATAAAAGTATTCATAATTAAAGTGGACCGTTCATTAAAGTTATTTTTATTTTCAGGTTACGCCGTTTTCGCCACTCCAGTATTGGTAATATTGTATCAATAGCGATGTGTTATATATTGCAACTAGATGAAAATTATGAAATAAAGAGCAAAGAAATTAGTTTAAATTGTCAATTTTTAAATTGCACGTCAATATAGAATAAGCGTTGCCAACCAATTACAAATTGGTTTATGTTGTGTTCAAATTTAAAAATAATATATTTTATATATTCCTTCAATGGACGTAAATGAGAATTTGAGATAAATAATACGTTTAAAACATACTTGTTTATATAATATTATCTAGTCATTATGAATAAATAAAAATTTTTGAATATAATGTGTATTTTCTATTCAACTCTGTCTACTGCAATCTTAAAACGCTTGTGCTATAAATATAGTGGCAAAGAGGAAAGGGCTTAGGAATAGTGGGATGGTCACCCACGGTGAACTTAGGGCATCCCAGATGTTTGATCCATGGAGAAGCACTGGCCCGAGGTGGCTGCTCTGCATAAACTTGCTGGGTCTCTTCATGCGCGTAGGTGGACTAGTAGCGTACTTACGCACATTCTGGCCGGGCCGCACCTCTGATGCGTCGATGGTGAGGAGGGGAATGTCAGTATAACGATGCATCTTTTTTCCCACCCTTCGCGACCAAAACGTTGGCAAATGCAGAAGATCCACTGCTGGGGCCGAGATGGTGCTTCCGGGGTACGTTTTTTCTGGTCCCAGAGTGGAGGCCATGGGACACAGACTTGAGATCCGTTGCGCAACTGGGGTGCCATGTAGGAAACGGGAAGACACAGGAGTCTTTATAAAGATAGGAGGAGAGCTGTTCTCTTTCAAGGATGTGCAGCTGTCTGGACTGTTTAAATATACGAGCTTTATTAAATGATGGTGAAATTTCTTGGAGTATAAGAGAGACTTAGCACACCACAAATGTGTTTCTCCCGTCGCAAGGTGGATTTGCCATATTCATACGCATGAATGCAATCACTTAATATAAGTTTATATTGGGTAGCTTACTGAGAGCAAAAATGCCAAATTTTCTTCAAATAACAACAACATCTGCACGCAATATATTCTGTTAATTAACTGGTTCCGTACTATCAGTGGGACGCTTTCGGTTTCAAGCTTATTCATTCCACCTACCCAGCACGGTGAATATGAGATGGCATTAGGTCAGACTGAGCCGTGTAGACGCCCCTAGACAATGCAAGTTTCGCACTCCTCTCCTTTTTTTTTACTTCCTATATCACGCAAAAACTCTCGTTTCTAAAACCACGGGGATTCTGGGTGACGTAGCTCTATTAGCTATGATCGAATTAGTCTTGCAATATACCCCCCATGAACAATTACACAAATAGACGGCCCCCAGTCCCCGGCGGCCCCGCTATTCCTGGCTACGGTGGCGACCATGTTAACGGCGGGGCAGGGGGATGCTAAGAATCTCCGGTGGAGGTTCGGTTGCCACCTACGACGACTCGACCTGGCAACATTTAACGCACGCACACTGAGGACTGACGAGAAGATCCTGGAGCTGGAAGAAGAGATAGACAAGTTGCGCTGGAGTATTATAGGATTATCCGAGGTCCGAAGAGAGGGGGAGGACACGGTGATTCTCGAATCCGGCAACTTGTTCTATCACCGGGAGGGCGACCATCTGTCCCAAGGAGGTGTCGGATTTATCGTCCACAAGTCTCTCGTCAACAACGCTGTAAAGATTGTGAGTGTGTCGACGAGGGTCGCGTACCTGATACTCAGAATCACCAAACGGTATTCGCTGAAGGTCATACAGGTTTACGCACCAACCTCGGCACATTCCGATGAGGAGGTGGAGGAAATGTATGAGGATATTTCCAAAGCCATGCATTCCTCCAAAACCCACTACACGGTGTTGATGGGAGACTTCAACGAAAAACTAGGCACAAGAGAAAACGGTGAGCTGAAGTTAGGGAAATTTGGAGTAGGGCAACGGAACCGAAGGGGCCAGCAGCTGGCCGACTTTATGGAGAAAGAGAGACTCTTTATGATGAACTCTTTCTTCCAGAAGCGGCCCCACAGGAAGTGGACCTGGTCGAGCCCCGACGGTTCGACAAAAAATGAGATTGACTTCATTATGACGACCAGACGCCAACTGTTCAGTGATATCTCAGTGATCGCAAGGGTGAAAACTGGCAGCGATTACCGAATGGTTAGAGGCACACTGAACCTAAACGTTAAGTTGGAGAGGTCTCGTCTAATGAAGTCAACGCTCCGTCCCCCTCGTGCTCTAATCCAAAATCCCGAAAACTTTCAGCTCGAGTTACACAACCGCTTTCAGTGTCTACAAGATTGCAATGTAGTGGACGATATGAATGACAAGCTCGTGGAAACTGTCCATGCGGTCGGAGCTAAGTTCTGCAAGACCCGCCGCAGAAGAACACAAAAACTCTCCGATCACACTCTTAATCTCATGGCTGTTAGACGGGAGATGAGGCTGCAATCGTCAACAGATTTGACAGCTTACAGGCAACTGAACAGACAGATCTCCAAATGCATGCGGCGAGACTTACGCAACTTTAATACTGCTCGTATTAAAGAAGCGATCGAGCGGAACCAGGGCTCCAAAGTCTTTGCCAGAGATCTGTCTGCCCGTAAGAGCCAACTGTCAAGGCTGAAGACTGAGTGTGGCAGCATCGTTTCCGGGACACCTGAGATTTTGAGTGAGATTGAGAGGTTCTATGGGCACTACACATCATCGTTGGAGCCACACGCAAGTGTGAGTAACGATACAAGAGCAAGTCTTATCTGACACTATTCCGATGATATTCCGGACGTCAGTCTAAGCGAGATTAGAATGGCTCTCCAGCACCTTAAAAACGGCAGGGCCCCAGGCGAGGATGGAATTACAGCGGAGCTTCTGAAAGCGGGTGGAACACCGGTTACTTGAAGTCCTTCAGAAGCTCTTCAATTCCGTCCTCCATGGTGGCACTACTCCAGAGGCGTGGAGCAGAAGTGCGGTGGTCTTGTTCTTTAAGAAAGGCGACAACGCTCTCTTGAAGAACTACAGACCGATTTCCCTTCTGAGCTGCGTCTACGTGCTGTTTTCGAGAGTCATTACGAATCGTCTCGCACGCAGACTCGACGACTTCCAGCCTCCCGAACAAGCCGGTTTCCGAAAAGGCTTCAGTACCATAGACCACATACATACCCTGCGGCAGATTGTACAGAAGACTGTAGAGCACAATTTGCCACTTTGCCTGGCGTATGTGGACTATGAGAAAGCCTTTGATTCCGTCGAAATTTGGGCGGTGCTGCAGTCCCTTCAGCGGTGCCAAGTTGACTGTCGGTATATCGAAGTGCTGAAGTGTTTGTACAGTAGGGCTACGATGGCTATCCGAGTACAGAACCAGAGCTCGAAACCTATCCAACTGCAGAGAGGTGTAAGACAGGGTGACGTTATATCCCCGAAACTCTTCACCGCTGCTTTGGAAGACGTTTTCAAGCCACTGGACTGGAAAGGATACGGTATTAACATCAATGGCGAGTACATCACTCACTTTCGATTTGCCGACGATATAGTCCTTATGGCGGAATCGCTGGAGGACTTAAGCACTATGCTCAATGACCTCAATAGTGCCTCCCAACGGATAGGTCTTAAGATGACCATGGACAAAACAAAGATCATGTTTAATGTCCATGTCACACCTATGCCGGTAGTTGTTGGGAGCACTATGCTCAAAGTTGTTGACGAGTACGTTTACCTGGGACAAAGAGTCCGCCTAGGTAAGTCCAACTTCGACCGAGAGGTCAATCGACGGATTCAACTCGGCTGGGCAGCGTTCGGGAAATTACGACACATCTTCTCGTCAGGTATACCTCAATCTCTGAAAACTAAAGTGTACAGCCAGTGCGTGTTGCCAGTAATGACTTACGGATCAGAGACGTGGTCCTTCACTGCTGGCCGTATGAGGACGCTCAAGGTCGCTCAGCGAGCTATGGAGAGGGCTATGCTCGGAGTTTCTCTGCGTGATAGACTCAGAAATGAGGATATCCGCAGTAAAACCAGAGTGACCGACATAGCCCAACGGATTAGTAAGCTGAAGTGGCAATGGCCGGCCATATAGCTCGAAGAAGCGATAACCGATGGGGAAGAAAGGTTATCGAGTGGCAGCCTCGTACCGGTAGGCGTAGTGTAGGGCGACCCCCCACTAGATGGAGTGACGACCTGGTAAGATATGCAGGAAGTCGATGGATGCAGGTGGCTCAGGACCGTGCTTTGTGGCATTACTTGGGGGAGGCCTATGTTCAGCAGTGGACTTGTGAAGGGCTGTGATGATGATGATGATGATGATGAATTAGTCTTTAAGATAATCCGGTCCTGGGT